GCTGATAGATACCTTCGTGCGCTTCCTGCCTTCATTCCAGATATTAAATTTAGAACTCTGAACTACCTATATCGTTCAAAAATACCAAACGTTTTCAATATCGACAAAATATTTACTATTCGATCACTTATATCCGAAAGCTTCAGAGTTATTTTTGTGTTATAAAATTATATGGCAGCGAGTGCCTAAGCTTACCTTTGTAGTAAGTATTCTTGACATTTCTTGTAATCTATACCTTAGTGAAAATTTATATTACAAATAAAGGCGTTTAAATCATTTTATTAAATGAACAAAAAAACGGATTAGTAAGATTATACATAATAGATTATTGTAGGTTTTGAATRATGTTAAATACCTAGGTATCATAAAACATAAAATGTTAATACTGGTATAAATTATATTTATTTTTTAATATTTGTCTCTGGCGACTATGTCATACAGTCTTTATTAATCAATATATTGGTGAATAAAAAACAAGTGAAGTTATAATACTGATCATTTTTAATAACACTCGATTATTTAAATACATATACATAATATATTATAAACTGTAATACATATTTGATTATGTTTAACTAAGTGTGCAATTTAATCTAATGGATAATATAGATATCTATTGGAATTTATAATAGTTATAAGTTAGGTATAACGTAATTTCATTACAGAATATATAAGCGCTAAARTTAGCTAGTTATAATAAGTTATAAAACTGYATAGTGTTTACAAACGCGTTAAATATCATACATTAACAATACAAATATCATGGCCTAAATTCGGATGCTTTTTAAGCTATTTCCGTCCTACATGTATAAATATGGAATAATAATAATTAATAACAATARTATAAATATGATAATTTTGTTCTGAAGTATAACTCTAAAATAAATAAATAGTAATAGAAATTTAACAATCTTAAAGTATTCTGAAATAGGTACATTTATATAGGTATCTTAAAAAGTAAKCCAGAGAGATAAATCTAAACAGTTTTTAATATACGTACCGAAATGTAATGTTTCTCGTGATAAATAATGAATACCTTTTTTTATAAAATTGTATTTGATATTGCTAGARTAATACAATAGTTTTGTTAACTACACTTCAAGCATTAAGGATTGGTAGTTCTTGAATTATTTAATAAAAATAAGATACCTGCGTAATATTATTATGACCTTAAAAATACTATTTTAACATTATTGATTAAAACGTTAAATTAATTCTCTATTGCAACACAGTTAAATTTAGTTTTAATTTGCACGAGTACAATTGCATTTAATTATGTTTAATTAGTGTTGATTTTAGTGATAATTATTTTATATTTTTCGATACTAGTTTTAGAATCATTCGTGTTCAACGCTTATATTATTGAACAGGATTCATTTTAGCTGAAAATCCTAACAGACGGATTTTATTGTTTACTCAATACGGTTTTACCGGCTTCATTCACTTCGTTCCATGTCACATCAATATCTTCTATCTGTGTGTACCTCGAGCAAATAGCCATACGCAAGAAAAATGTTCCTTTGACTTTCGATGGAACCATATACACTGTGCCTCGTTCGTTTATCTCTTTCAATAACACTTCATTGAGTTCGTTGGATCCCTGCAAAATTATTCGTGTWAACTACATTTTGCTGTACTTATTTGACTATACATAATAATTATCATATGAACTGGAAAAATGGGTAAATRACAAACTGATATTTTTATATTATTTATAAACCTTATTAGCCAAGTATTTGTTCTTTATGTATTTTAGAAAATATTTTTAAAGACAGTATATTATATAGGTGGATATCATACATGAACATTCTCAGTGGAATGCATAATATTCTTGAGAAATAAAAATTATAATCTTATTTTGTATGATGCCATTGATGCCATAATGCTAAATTAGTTTACAATGTACCTACTCTACGTTTATACATTTTAACTTTATAGGTATTTAATTATAAATTTACAATAGTCAATTCTCGACTTTCTCGTAAGTATTATCTAAAATATAGCCATATAGGATCATTTAATATTGGATTTAAGAATCATTGTAAGGTCATTTTCATCTAGCTATATCGATTTTAGTATTCTAGTTTAATTTATATATCTTAGCCCTTAGGTACCTACCTTAAGTCTGAAGCACACCAATCCCATACTGACTTCATTGAAAAGTTCATAATTTGGGTCGTTTTCCAATCGTTTGGCAAATTCAAGGGCAAGATTTATATCTTTTCTGATGGACTTTTGAAGGTTTGCAACACCAATTAGACGGAATACAAACCACATTTTTAACGAACGGAAACGGCGGCCCAACGGTATTTGCCAATGCTAATAAAAATTAAAAATTATAATATTTTGTGTCATACAAATTATCTAAACACTTAAATAATGTATCACATAATTATGTGCCACTATGTCCACTTGGTTTTTATCGCAAACCACAAAAATTTGTTGAATTGTAACTACTTACTCTGTAATCCGGCATTTGTCCCTCAAGTTCGTGTTTTAAATAAAGCGGATCTACGTTGAAAGCATTTATCACGTAATTTGGGTTTCTTAGCCACTGTATAACAAATAATAAGTAATAACTCTTAATGACATATTTATAACAATAMTATATAGGTAGTATACCCTGCCCATACTACGACATGCAAATAAATTTTTCATAACAGAAACATTAGAGATTTTATCATTCTTGTGAAATAATGGAGTGTCTAATAGTAGTCCTACTTTATAATCACTATTGTATTTAAAAAATTGTAGAACATTTGTATTAGTTGTATCATTGTTACAGCCTAAATTGAATAAAATGGTATTTAATAATAATATCCTATTGATAAGCCATAGCCCATATGTTCAGATTTTTTTTAATTATATTTTTTAATTACCATTGCTGAACAATCAAAAGTAACTTGAAGCCACTTATGAGGATTGAAATTGAATGAATCGGCTAATTCCACTCCTTTCATATAATGACGATATTCCGGGCAAACAAATGAAGATCCTGCAATATTAAAGACAATAAATGATTATATACTAGTATTAAAATGTATATAACTTTTATGAATCATAATTGTTTTTTACTTATTAATTCATTTATTCAATTTTCTGTTTAACTAGGTACATCTCGATAGTAAAGTTTAATAACTCACGGTGTAACCAATTGGGCCTGGGGTATGGTCAAAGGAGAACTGCCGACGGGTTGGCAATATGGAGAAATTTTAAAAATTTAGTGACTCAAGTATTTGTTTAATATACGAGTTTGTATTCAAGATATAATTTGAAAAGGAAACTTTAATTTATAGRCTTTAAATCCTAACAAAATGTCTTAAAAATAATGACCCCACAATTACTGTATGATCGATGATCAATGATTACTGTGCAGTATAAAGATTATTGGCAGCTGGTGTGAATTGAAGGAGAATTTTGATCTTAGTGCCTCAAAATCTAGCAATATAAGGCTCTATAAAACATTACATCTTTATACCAACAGCAGCTTTTTATGCTTTACACTTTAAAGTTTATGCTTATGGTTTTAGATGTGTCCAAAAATCTCGTAAAACCCTAATGTAGTGTCCTAAACTTCTATTAAATTTGATTATTATGTCAACTTATTATTTTCACTTAAAAGGTTTAAGCACAACTTAAAATATATTCGATTTTTAAGAACTATAATTTATTCACTAATCATAAATATTCTAAACTTTTACAAACATAATATTAGTAAAATTTTAATTTTTAGAGATATTTATAAATGGCTCTCCCTAATTGGTCTACATAAGTAGTTTATTTAAGTTTYTAAACTCGTTATTTCTAAAASTTTTAATTTTTAAACGTAGATTTTTTTACATAATTTGATGTCATTTCAAAAAAATGCTTTTGAAAAATATAATATTTTTACCATGTTTTTTGTATCGTTATAATTTTTTAAATTTTTACTTTTTCGAATGATAATATACATTGTTAACATCACATTCTGAAGCAGAATATTTTTAGAAG